AGTTGTTCTCACGTATGAGGAATGAAGGTCGTGTGAAAACGGGACCCGCAGTTCTAACTGTCATTTTCGAAGCTTGTGGCAAAATTGGTAAATGCAAAGAAGGCTTTCAGGTTCATTGCCTGGCATTACGTTTGGGGTTCGAATCTGACGTTTTAATGAGCAATTGTGTTGTTGCTATGTACTCGAGGCTAGGCTTTTTGAACGAGGCCGAATATTTGTTCAGCACATTGTGTGAAAAAGATTTACTTTCTTGGAATGCCCTTATTCACGGTTATGTTCTCGCCGGAAGGCTCGAGGAGGCCCACGAGCTTTTTACGAAAATGGGTTCGAAGGATATAGCTTCCTGGACGAGCCTAATGATGGGATACTCTAACCATGGTTTAACTGATAAATGCATTGAGTTATTTAACGATATGCCTGAACGGGATGATATTGCTTGGACTGCTTTGATTTCTGGATTTGTGAATAATGGAGAATATGAAGAAGCTATTTCTTGGTATGTTCGGATGATGCGTAGTGAAATTAAGCCTAATACTCTTACATTGAGTAGCTTACTTCGTGCCTCGGCTAGTTTGGCTTCTTTAAGCCTCGGCCTGCAAATTCATGCCTCGGTTCACAAAACGAGTATGGAAAATAATTTATCGGTCCGAAACTCGCTCGTCTCAATGTACTCAAAGTGTGGGGTTATAAATGACGCGTACAATATATTCGAATCAATCGCTAAACAAGACATTGTTACGATTAATTCCATGATAACCGGTTTGGCACATAACGGATTTAGCGAAGAAGCGCTCGATTTGTTCCGAAAATCGGTCGACGAAGGACACGAGCCGAACGATGTTACGTTTTTAGGAGTTTTATCTGCGTGTACTCACGTGGGGAATGTAGATGAAGGGTGGAAGCATTTCGTATCTATGAAAGCTCGGTTTGGGCTTGAGCCCAGCCCGGATCATTACGCTTGTATGGTGGATTTGCTCGGGAGAGCGGGCCGATTTGACGAGGCCTTGAAGTTGATAAATTCGATGATGTTGAAAGTCGAGCCTCACTCGGGAGTTTGGGGTGCTCTTCTTGGCGCGAGCCAAATTCACATGAATATTGAAGCGGCAGAGCTTGCGGCTCGAAAATTTTCGGAGCTCGAACCGGATAATGCAGCCCCGTACGTGGTGTTGTCGAATATTTATAGTTTTGTGGGGAAGAAAGGAGATGAAGAGCGAACGAGAGTGTTTAAAAGATTGAAAGGGGTTAAAAAGAGTCCCGGCTGCAGCTGGATCGCCGTGAAGGATGAAGTTAAGTTGTTTCTTTCGGGAGATAAGTTTCATGTGAACTTTGGAGAGATTAAGTGTATGCTTTCGACAGTTATTGACGTAGCGAAAGCGCACGACTGGGAACACAACAGATAGAAAAGTATACTTAAAATCTGAACTTTGAGAATTCATTTGAACTTGAGTTAGATTTTGAATTAAGATTCATAATTTTTTTTTTTAATTTTTTTTTTGTGTGTATATTCGTGAACAAACGCACTCTAACTGTACTTAACCATTTTTGCAGAATATTAACGCTCGTTGTTTGCAGATTCGAAAAATTTCTGGTAATTTTGGAAGGCTGTTCAGTTTTGTACTTAAAAACTATAAAGATTGGAAATTGCCGCCGATAGCTTGAAGTTGCTGAGATCGATCATAAGCATTTTACAGTTTTACAGTTTTGCTTGAGGGCATTTTACAGTTTTAATACAATGGTAGTTTTTAAATACATACATTTTTATTTTCAACATACCAATGAAAATAGTTATTATTTATTTACTTATACATTTTTTTTTTACTTGATTTGGGAATCCTTAAAATTTGGGTCCAAACATATGAGAGAATATAAAAAACGGAAAAAAAAAAATAAAATCGAATCTTTCTGTGAAATTTTTTTAGATAGAAAATAGAGGGTATTTTGGAAGAATTTTATACATTAAATAAAAAAAAAAAGACAGAATATTGCCTAAAAGTAGTTACTAACTTGGATGCATGAGACGTGCATAAATTTTATATCATCATAGACACGTGTCATGCATCCAATGAAATGAAACACGAAATGGAATACAAAATAGGAACAGGTGATCTCACTCCAGTCAATAAGGGCAAGATGTACCAGTATCTAAGCACAGCTCGATAAGTACTGAAGCTAAAACTCATAATAGAAATATGTAAAGCAAGCAGCTATGTACCGCCAAATCTGTTAACCGAATCTGCATACCAACTGCAGCCACAGTATGCTAGTGGTTCTAGTTACGAAAATTGCCGTCTGCTCGTAATTACGATGAGAAACTAGTATATACGTCATTCCTATATTAACACCTCGGGCTAGCAGTAGTTAGGTACAACGAGTTCTGATCATCAAAACAAAAGAAGCACACTTCTTACAAAACAGATCCTTTTTCCTAGATTGTGCTAACAGCAATATTCCAACTTGTCTCGTGTCCATTTGGCTACAAAAGTCCCCGATGATCCGTGTCTTGCAAGGTACAGATACATCACTGAAACAGGAAAAAGAGTAAGGGATTAAAACATGCTTGTGTAGGATTGGTATTCATTTCAACTTCTGTACAGAGGTAACGAGTAATAAATTTCTTAACCAAAATTCTTAACCAAACAGCCCCTTAATTCCTCCCGTCGGTTCCTCAGGAAAAACTATTGTACTACCATTTCAACTATATTATACTTTTTTCGGATGATGAGCACCTACATGAGAAAGCATAGTCAATATCAAACCAGTTAAAACCATCAGGTAGCTCATGAAACTATGATATCAACCTCATAATCTCACTCCAGTTAATACTAAAGAAAAACTTTGAAAACATAATTTATACTATCAAGATACATTATATGAACTTTAACTGCTTAGCCCTATTAATAATGAACGACAAAAGATGATTGCGGTATGTGGAAGTTAAATATTTCAAATGACAGTTCATGCAAAATATAAGTGTTGTTCATTGCTCTGGCAGTCAAGCTGTTCTGGACTTCTGGTCATCTCATCATATTTGGTACTAATGAAATCGTAAGACAATGCGTGAAGAGTTGTCGTAAAACCTCACAGCTGATGTGCCAAATACAAGCAGATAAATGTTCAAGAATAGCTCACCTGTTATACCTATGAAACTTGTAGCAACTAGATAAGCAACACCTTTTTAAATATGGCCTAATCAAACTACCATAGTCTTCAATTAAAATTTTTCTTAAAGGATATGGGAACTTATTATAACTTAATGATTCACAAAATCTCCAAGGTTCAAAAAATGCAGAAAGGATAGTGATATTGATGACTTGATACGATGATATCTACCTTCAACAGTGATTTTTAACAGGTAAAATACTCAAGTCCAGTTTCCTCAGTCTCTCTCTAACTAGTTCGGCCCAAGACCGGGAGAGGCAACAATATACAACAAAAACTATGCACCACTTTCAAACAAATCCAGCAAAATACTCACACAGAACAACAATACCAGGCACAAACAACAATCACCCACACAGAAGCAATAAATAACAGGAGCAATCAATACTCTGTAGAAAAGAAGGTACCTACTATTCGAACAAATTGAATCAGTTATTAAGAAAGCAAAATGTTTATTCTCGAATTTTTAGTGAAAATCAATCACTAATAAAAATTAGACCAATCAATACTCATTGACGCTTAAAACTGAAATTAGCAAAACAAATTGAACAGATTGAAGTCGTGGAATAAGCTTGATATTCGAATTGAACAAATTAAAATCATCTGCTAAAGTGGATATAAGCCGAAATCCAGCAATGACTGATGGACATTTAACATGACATTGAAGTTCACTAAAATATCCCAAATAAACTTACAATCTTCCTGGGACTGTTCAATTACATATGCTCCTTGTCATTCTTAAGTCTTCCACCAGAGTACTCCAGGAAAACCAACTACTACATAATGCTTTGAATTTGCATCTACGACTCCGACATATGGATTTCACCACTTAATATAGCACATGAATGGGGTGACTTCAAAATTAGGGAAAAGATGGAAAAGAAGTCATACCTAATATCATCCAAAACAGTTGGTATATTAAACTTGATGATTGATTCATGGATGCACACCACGAAAATATAAACAGAATATAACACATCAACGTAGAAAAAGAAGTACACCCCACATAAATCAGAACATTTGAATCCTAAATTTTGATGCCTTAATGGCAGGTGCACTTTCACCATGAAGTGAACATAATGCATGAATATTATAGCTTTTGAACTAATTGTAGTCAAGAAAGCAAACCTCACATATATCTTTGTGAAAAGAGAACAATTCATTGACTCCATAAATTTGAGCTTATCTGACTAGAAAATAAAACCAGCAAGGCATGATTGAAATTTAAGGCAAGAAAAACGATGTTCATATGCTACAAAATACTCATTGTCATCCCTTAATCTTACAATTTATATCATTATGGACTCCTTCAAGGGCTCAAATATATAGAAGACTCTAAGACTGTGATTTCACATAATGGCGTGCAGTCAACGAAATATGATGTGTTAAAAGAACAAACATCATTCACCACTTGCCATCTACAATAATCAGAACGAGCACCACCAAGATATTTTTAAATACTCAGCAATCCTGCAACTACCAAAGAAAGGAGTTCTCGAGATAATTTACATAAGTCAATCCCTCACTAACTTCAAAAAGTAATGCTTAAGCAACAAATGTTACCATATGCAAGACAAAAGATAGCTACTCCTAATTTGCAAGCATACACTAAGTCACGTAAATAGTATATAGTAGTACTAAGATCTATGTACTCAATGAAAAAAGGAATTAAACCACTAAAAAACATATATGGTCAATTTGGCTCATTGCATAAAAGTTAATGTTTCGGTGGTGAATCCAAAATACGAAATAACTACAAAGTAGAGATGATCAATTTAGCTATGTCAATTTGATTTCATGCTAATCCAAGAAAATTAAAGCTAAGAAGAGCAGAACTAACTTCAGTTTTCCATTAAATATGGATGTGCCAATGCTGCCTCAGCAGTGATCCTTGTGGTTGGATTTATGCTCAACATTTTCATCAGAAGGTCATTCCCCTCAGCACCAAGATTTGGGAATAGTTCAGAGACCTAGTAATCAAAGTTAGATAGTAATGATTGTAATCAAATAATCAAATAAAAAATAAATCAGAATGATGTACCTGAGGATATTTAGCTATATCCTGTGGGAAATCAGGAAAATCAGTAGGTGTTCCGAGTTCCTTGCAAATTCGATCAACTACAACAAGCTCCTTCAAATTTTCATTATCATCAGCATGACCAAAGAGTGGACTGCCCTTCTCAAATTCAGCGAATATACACCCGATGGACCAAATGTCAACAGCACTTGTATAGAGGGGAAAGTCAAGTAGCATCTCGGGAGCTCGATAGAGCAAAGTTGACAACTAATATACAACAGAATTATTACCAGGTTGATTAAATGCAAATACAAAACAGCACTTGTATAGAGGGGAAAGTCAAGTAGCATCTCGGGAGCTCGATAGAGCAAAGTTGACAACTAATATACAACAGAATTATTACCAGGTTGATTAAATGCAAATATAAAACACTATTGAAATTTAAATGGAAAGGCAAATACTAAATACAGTTCAAATTGAAAATCAACCTTTGGAGTTAGAGCTACATCAATGATGAACCACTCCCTAGCAGTTCCAAAGTCAGCAAGCTTTAAGATCTCACCATCCCCCACCAGAATATTTTCTGGCTTCAAATCTCTGTGTATAATGTTTCTACTGTGGAGATAAGCAACCCCATCCAACATGTTTTTCAACCACTTCTACAAAAGCATAAGAACAAATTTACACTTGTTACGTGTTAATCAATATAGCTTGCAATACAATAATCGATTCACCTTTGGGTTGGCAGGAGCATTCTTCACTATCAAATAACTATTCAAATCATATATAGCATGCTCCATCACCATCATGATAGTTTTCTTATGGAAAAAGGCATTCTGCATCCTAAAATAAAAAACAATCACGCCGCATTATTACTAAACTTAAATCAACTTAAAATTTGATAATATTTTTCACATTGCTCATTTCCAATACCTCACTATATTCTCATGTTCAAGCGAGTACAAAATCGAGATCTCTCGAGCAATCTTTTTCATTACCAAGTCATCCTTTAAACGGACTATTTTCATTGCATACACAGCTCCAGACTCTTGGTGTTCGACAGAGTATACAGTTCCATAAGTTCCAGACCCCAGGAAATCGCCAATCTCATATCCATTCACGACTGCCTTTAAAATTGAAAAAAAAAAAAAAAAAAAAACTAAGTATCAGCTAAAAAAAACTCAAATTACAACAAGATTAATACCTCCAGTTCATTTTCATCCTCGCCTTCCTTGTTACTTCTTCTCTCCAACATATTTCTCATCTCCTCGATGATTAACTTGCTCTTCTCATCCATCGCTCTATTAACTTCGTCGATGATGTACTGTGCTTCGTCCATGTTTCCTGTAACTTTCAGAATGTGAGAGCTGAAGATTATGGAGATGAACAGTGGTGGGTGGTGACAGGCTAATCCAGGAAACCTCTACAGAAAAATAACCTTTGCGAGAGCGAGAATAATGCTATGCTTTTCCTAGAAGACGGAATGAAAAGGGTGAATTTGCCATGAATTTGCAAAATATTATATACCTTGGCCGCCAAGGCTAAACGAGTTAACTTTCTCCCCAATTAAAATCACTAAGAAAAATATATAATATAATAGGGTAAAATACATTTTCCCATCCAAACTATCACGGTTTTTTTGTCAATGTGCCCCTAAACCGGATATAAAAGTGGTTTAGGGGGCACATTGACAAACCCGTGATAGTTCATATGGTGGTTTGTAAAAGTATTCAGGAGGCACATATGATCACCAAACAACTTTTTCAGTCAAAACCACTTTTATATCTAGTTTAGGGGTACACTGACAAACCCGTATAGTTCATATAGTGGTTTGTAAAAAAAAATAGTTTATATGGTGATGCACCAAAACCGTGATAGTTCGGATGACAATAAATATTTTACCCAATATAATATAATATAAAGGCTAAAACCCGCTGAGTTACGAATTATTTTGAATTTGGATTTTGGGATGTATTTCAAATTCTATAATTACCCCCAATTCGTTTTTACGAACTCGCGGGTCGTAAAATTTCAAGCGATGCACGCAGATTTTATTATTTTCATACTTTTTAAAAGACAATTTTTATTTAAATTTTATAATAAAAGAATGATCATGATTCATGACATTAATAAACATAATCAATATGAAATCTATATATTATTGAACAGTAAAAAAGGCGATCCTCTTCAGAATAATGCATCTCAAATTCAATCAGTTGATCAACATATTTCTCTCATACTGTACATGTCTTCATGTTTCACCTTGGAAACAATTTCAAATTATATGCAGTTAGTATTTCTTTTATTGAATTAAATAATAATATTTAGTCTCCCCTAGATAGTTTGAATGATCAAACTTTATGGAATAAGAATTATATTTGTTATTGAGATTATTATCACTTCTCTCTTGCGTTTACGCTGCGCCTACATCAGTTGGTATTCAAAGACCAGGACGATTCCAGATGATGCCAAAGAGAAACGACACGACCGACGATAGGCTCGCCGTTGCCGTCGACTCTTTGAACCGCTAAGTCGAAGGTTTCGGCCAGCAGTTCCAGGCAGATCGGTCGGGAGATGACTGACCTCTCGGCGGGCATGGAGAAGATCGATTTGGCTCTTCACACGATGATGCAATGCAATAAAATGGCCCACGACAGACTCGATGGTCGAGGCAGCAGTCGCGGAGGGTTTCGTGGTGGCCGCGGGGGTAGCGGTGAGGTGCGAATTGATGGCTGACAGAGGATGTCGCGCGAGGAGAAAGACGGTGATTCCGACACCACGGTGGAAGAGGTAAACCCTTTCAGGTTTGATGATCCCCAAGGGACCGTAGACGCGCTCGATGGCCAGCGTTGGGAGGGCTCTTTCTATGTGGATATCCTGAATTCACGGGTAGCCTCGATGCTGCAGAATTCTTCGATTGGCTTGTTGCGGTCGAGTTGGTCCAGAGTTTCAAGGAGATGTCGGACGAGCGGAGGTCGGGCTCGTCGCGACCCGATTAAGAGGTCGCGCAGCGCCATGGTGGCTATAGCTCAAGAGATCATGACGCCGCATGGGTAAGTCCAAAATAGCGGTTTGGTCCAAATTTCGTAAACACATCGAACAAGAATTTTACCTTTCAGTTATGTTCAAACTATGTATCAAAAATTGCAAAATGTCTAGAAAGGGATACGACCGGTCGATGAATATACCTAGGAGTTTTACAAACTCCTCACAATATTTGATGTTCAAGAGACAATAAACCAATTAGCCTCGCGATATACTGGCGGTCTTACCGATTCAAGATACGCTCAACCTCTTTATTCTAGATACTAACTACGACGCATACCAACGCGCGATCTTGGTTGAGCAGCAGCTCGCAAGGCGGGCATATTCCTTGGTGTTCTCGAGGCCACAAGCAGATGTGCAGGTGGGCGGGGGTGCAGCGCTGGACGCTTATCGGTTTGGCTGAGGCGTCGCTGAGGCTACTTTTGCGGGTATCAACAGGCCACCGGCAGTAAGTTTGGGCAACGTTTGGTGCTTTGCAAGGTGCGCGATGAGCGGGCAGACTTTGCTGCTTTTCTTGTAGTGAACGGGGACATAGACAATTTGCTTGTCCTTAGCCCGGCGGAGTTCGGGCCTTGTTCACGGACGATTTGGAAACTCATGATGACCATCCATTATATGACGCACCTCCGATTTTTTATGAGGAGCTGGAGGACCCCATCATGCGCAACCATATTTTCGAGTCGTCTTGCACATAGCGCGGTCGAGTATGCCATTTCATAATCGATTACGAGTTACGACTATTGCAAGAACGTCATGGTTGAGGACGCTGTCAAAAGATTACATTTGACTACCGAGCCACACCCCTAGCTTTACACTTTTGCGTGGATCCACTGCGGGAACCAGTGACGGAGTTAGGAATTTTATCGAGGGGGGCTCAAATAATAATAACAAGAAAATAAAAAAAAATAAATTAGACAAGCACCGACAAAATATACATAGCACATATATCCGAGTACTCAAGTCTCAAGTAAAAAAAAAAAAAA